AGATACTTAGGTTCTACATATTACTATGCTAAGCTACAGTATTCTAATAAGTAATCTTATCAAAAGACTATACACTGCTGAGCATAAGCCTCCCCATTAGTCATTTTCATATCGTTTCCGATTAATAAAACAAATGGGGTATCTTAAGACTGTCTACTTAGAATAATCTATTATCACACGTTATTTTTTATTTATGTAACAGCAAAATTGGTGACCGATGTCCTCAGTCTCCGAGGTCTCTTCACACAACTTTCCATTTGATCATAATAGGTACCAAAGGCGGAAAACCCTGACAGGGTTTTCGAGAGCTATTTATGACATATACCTATTTGTAACATACAGATGGCGTACCTATTTCATATTTCCTGCCCCGGGCCTATATTTTTTTTGTTTGGCTTAATATTAATTTTAGAAAATATTCTAAACTAGTGGACTGCATCGCCACCTATCTGGTAGAGTATAAAATTTGTAGTCATTTGCGAAACTTTATTTTTTCCTTAAAAGGCTTCACTTTAATAATGTGACACCCCAACAAACATTTCATAGGTCGCACGCCGTTTATAACTTGGTTCCGTACTCTGGTCGCAAATATGTATCGCTATGACGTTGACACACCGAGAATAGGCCTATTTTTATACGAATCAGTATCGTATAGTCACTGCAGTGAACGTGTAGTGGTCTTGTAGATGTCATAATATCCACTTTTCGGAGAATTATGATGGTTATTACCGCTGCTCTATTGCATTTTATCGAATAACCAGTGTTTATCACGACTATTACATGGGAATTTGATGTAAAGTGATTACATAAACGTAGTGAGTTGAAACTTTTAAAACCGGAGAATTCAATTTTATAAGGACTGTATTTTTAACAAAGACAGTTACATCTATTTACCTTATTATTATATCTGCAAGACATGGTCAAGTACATAAAAATCTGTTGGAAAATTAATTTTATCGAGTATTATGCGCTAGTTTTCTCCATATAATGAACGCGCCCATGATTTATTCGAATAGTAACCTTCATACGAATTTAGTATACAACATCTTAAGGACTTTTCATTCCATGTACTTATTTTTGTATCTGTTTTGATCAGCCATATTAACGAAATTTGGGTACATTTAAAGTAATAATAAAAAAAGATGATATGTCAGAAATCTGTATAAATCAGATTTAATTATATTGATACATATATTATGTTTTTGAGATGGGCATAGATATCTACACACTTTATACGAGTGGATAGTTGTTTTGGTTACGGATTTTTGAAAACTAGCGACGAAACCAAACCTACTCACTTTATGTTAAATTTATGATCAATATTAATTTAAAGAAAAATCCACTCGGTCCAGGTTTCAGATGGGATTCGAACCCGCATCTTCCGCTATCCGGGTGGACGCACTAACCAATTATGCTACAGAGACCTTAATGGCCATGTCGAATTCCCTCTAATATTTCTTAGGCTGCAAGGCGATGCAAGCTCTTTGCTTTGTAACTATATATATTTAAATATCTGGCAGTAAATGCTTAAAATATCTAATAAAAAATTTAAAAGAAAAAATCCAATCGAATCAGTTTTCAAACTGGATTCGAACCCACATCTTCCGCTATCCGGGCGGGCGGATTTTTTCTAGTAAAAATTTCACAATTATTAATTTAGATTTTAACAATTAGCAGTTAAATGATTTAAATAAAAATATAATAAAGGAGGTAGTTTGAAAGTGGTAGGTAGTCGGTTTTCGGCAGCAACGATACATTATATCATTTGATACCTTGTTTTATATTATAACATGAAAAGATACTCTTATTTTTTTATTTATCCCTGATTATGTTTCCATTAAAATAAATAACTTATTGTACCAATTAATAATTGATTTTTCTTGAAATAAAATACCCACAAAATACCTTATATTGACACTTTTAGTACTTATTGAATAGAATATATTTGATGCTTTGGCAACAAAAAAAAGATAAATTAACTTTCAATTATTTTGCCAATCAACAATGATATAATTTTAATAAAAAATATTTCAATAAAAGGGGATAAAATAAATTTTAGTTTTTGTCAAACGATTTAAAATTAAGCACACTTCATATCATAAAAAATGAAGTCTGACGGAGCCTCACTACCGCCCTCTATAAAAATTTAAACTGTTTCCTTTGATTTATCAAATATTCCATGTTCTTCGTCTTCTTCCGACTACTGTTATAAAACCTCTAGATCAGATTGTTGCGCTTCTAGCAACTTCATACTGTTTAGACTCATTCTGCCCGAACTCAATTCTTTTGAGTTGTGTAACCAATCGTATAGAAGTTTATACCTACGATGTTTTTATACAACTACAAGTAATATAAAGTTAAGAGGCACTAAGTTGTAATACATCTTAAAATTTACTTCAATGCTATGTTTATAGCATGTTCAGTCGCGTAATTTTTACATATACGACTGAAATGTTTGTTGGGGTATTATTCAATCGTCATCATAACGAAAGTAACAAACGATTTTATCCAACTATAAGAATATTAGAGTCCTTGAGTGCCGTTTTTATTCTATTTTTTTAATTTTATATATCGACAGCGGAAGCATAGTGTCTGTCTACAAAGTACTATTTGCTGAGTTACTAATTATGGTCACCTACCAAACTATTTTTCTTAAATGTGTTGGAAATTAGAGATATTTGAATTTATCTTTTGTTGATAGTTTATTAGTCCTTATTTATTATAAAACAAACTCCCTGCAGTGCCTTGTATATGTGAACCTATGTATGTTCGCGGTGATCACAAAAGCTATTGAATGGATTTTCATGCGTTTTCACTCATTTTTTGGCCCGGAGAATGCGTTACGCATACCCCCGCCGCTGACAATGCAAATACCTGAGAATCTAAACTATAATCGACTACCGAATAAATATTTCAAAGTACAAAAAAATATTTCGAAAAAAAAAATGGGCACTGTCTAGCTTTGTTACAGAGTCCTTTAATTTTTTTCATTACCGTATTTGGGTGTAGTAGGTATACTGAATCTGTTCAAGTTCAAATCCTTTATTGCACCATGTTGTTACATTGATCTTGATAGAAATTTAACATTTATAAATGGAAACATGACCCTGCTAGGGCATTGCAAATAGTAACTAAACATAAATATTTTCTCAACATCATGTACGTATTCTATATTAACATTATTAATTGATTATCACTATTTAAAAATTATCATTATTCAGTAATTATCATTATTTATTAATAATCATCATTATCTGTTTTTTTTTTTAATTATAGAGCAGTTCAGTTTTTTTTTTGTTTTACGTGATGGGAATCTATTCGGTTGTTCGACAATAGTATCCGCTTGAAAATTTAAAGCTAGTAAGTTGGAACACCAATAATTATATTATAGACAAACCAAGTCTTGACAAAATATTTACTTCGGTTAATGCTGTCGTTTATCTGGTTGTTTAAATTATTTTTAAACTACTTATATAATGCCCGAAAAGTTACGAACCTTGTACCTGTATCTTTTGTATTTTTTTATCTCCAGTAGTAACTTGAGGAAGTGTTGTAGACGTAGTTTTAGTACTCATTTAAGATAAAGTTGTGGATCGAATGCCATATTTTTTTAAGTTCTGAATTCGGTTTTGTTAATATGTATTATTATGTCTATGCTTTTATTTTTTTGAGTCGTGAACTATATTTTCCTCAGCTGCAGCTTCAAACCAGTTTATATTCGATTCACTGTCGAATTATTTTTATTAACATGTGCTACCAGTCTATAAGCCTGCTAGAATGATATTAGGTCTAAAATTCCTTTACATAATTCACTTAGGTGCATCAAGTATAAGAATGCAGTTCCAGCGTCTTACTTGAGCTGAATTATTTTATTTTAGAAAAATTGTCTTTAGATATACAAAGGTAAAAATGGAGCAGTTTCTTGATTATCAGCTACCTATATTTTACATTATCCAAACTTAAAATCCGACAATAAACCCAACACAATACACCACCGTTCGGAACGGTGGAACAACGGGTAAAAAAAATAAAAGTGGACCCACCAGGGAGACATGTTGGTGGGACCAACTCATAATATGTAATGCTTACATAAGTATCTATCTCTGGAACTATCAAACCACAGTAGGTAAAGGCGTAATGCAGCATGAGCAAGAACACTGTCGATTTTGGTACGATTCTCTAAACCTAAACTTTGGTGTGACAACTGTTTATCCTTGTCTTTTAAGTTTAGAGAATCATGCTAGAATCGACACCAATATCAGATGTCCATATAAAGTGGTCCGTACTCACATGAATGAGAGGAATATTTGTTTCACTTATCAATATCGTTTATCGATAAATTCATACGTAATATAAAAACTCTTCTGCAATAGAAGAATCCAGTAATCCGTCGTTTTAAATGATAATAACTTGCGTTTAAACTCTGTTTTTAGTTGCTCTGTCTTCCATTACAGCGACAGTTTTCCAAATTTCATGGTCTATCTAACTTCTTCGAACATAGTTAAAACTACACAGTTATCGCATTTGAATTGAACAATACTATCTACTTTTAATTCAAGTTGCCATGCAGCTGCTTTGGCGTCGGCCGGCATGATTAATGTCCATAACATCTTATTGCACCTAAGAAATGTTTTCACATGGTGGTTTGTTAAGATAACCAATTATGCTTTTGTTACGTACACAATGCTGGGTCTTTTTACTAGCTAGCTAGCAGGCAACATAAATCCTGCCTATATCAGTTCACAACAACATTGAAGACTAAAAAATGATAATATTATTGATTACTTACTGTAGCGGTAGTTAACCTATTGAATGCTAATTTGACATTGAATAAATTTATTAGAGGGTCATTGGAACCTATAGTTATACATTTTTGATTTGGCTTTCTTTGAAGTTTTATTTGTTGGCTTTAGAACCAACGTAATGTATTTTTTGTGTTACAAAATAGCAACCACTTATGTTGTTAAAAATACCAACTCATTTTATTTGTTTTGTTACAGCGATGATGCTCTTGGAGAGTGATATGTTTATGGACGCGCTTAATGCTTCTGCAACAAACAAAAAAGAACCCAAGAAAAGAAAACGAAGAACAAGTGGATCGAAAGATGGGAACGCTCCGAATGATGGCTCACCTCCAAATACTCCTACTAGCATTACTAGTCCGAACAGCGAAAGTAAGTCTGTTCCTCCACGATTCTACCAAGACACATTAGATACAGAAGAAAATAAAGAAAAGTCTTCTGTACAAAGTCCCGTAACAAAAGATAATACAGACACAGAAACGAATAAGGAACCAGAAGAGCCTATGGATACTGTGGAGCCTCATACTTTAACTATAAATGGACTTAAAGGCGTTTTATGCTATCATAAAAGAAAAGGACCCAAAAAGAGTATAAAGTGGAAACCAGATTCTGAGTTAGAAGAAGTTCAATACTTTGAACTCGATGAAACAGAAAGAGTAAATGTTACCAAAACATTTACCGACATGAAGTATTTGGAAAGGATTAATGAAAGAGAAGCTTTCCAAAAAGCGAGAAATCTCAGTACTGATGACATTATGGAAGAAAAAACTAGTTGGAGACCTCTTATCCCGATAGATTTAGATGGTCAAATACAGGTTGAACATGGTAAAAACAGCAAAGAGAAAGATATTCAAGCCTTAAGGCAAAAGGGAACTTTACAACCACTTTATTTCCATAAATCTATGATACCAGACTCTCCTTTTGAACCTGATACAGAAACACACACTTACGCAGAACCTACCATAATACCATTAGAAGACATAACAGGAAATCAAGATAACATAAGTGATTTTAGAAATATGCCATGGCCGGAACCAAAAGGAAATGCGCCACCTCCTTCTAGTAACATTACTATGCCTACTATATTTCCACCCAACATTGCTCAATTTCCTAACGGTTTCCCTAATCCACAGTTTCCTGGCGTTGCAGGATTTCAAGGGCCTATGGTTCCCCCAGATTGGCAAAATGGAGTTCCGCCTCATCTAATTGGTAGTGGTATGCCAGGTCCCATGAATTCGGCACCACTGACTCCAGGAGCTATACCTCCTGGGAATGTTCCCCCAGGAATGATGATTCCATCAGAAAATATGATGATGACTCCCGATATGTTTGGTGGCCCCAATCCATTGTTTCCTGTGCCCCCAGAAGGGTTTAATATGCAACAAAATATGTTTCCAATGGATTTCAATATGCCTGGTCCACAGGGACCTGGTCCCGAAAGTTTTCCTGGACCAGGCAATTTCCGTGGTGCAATGCGTGGAGGTCGTGGAGGTCATTGGCGCGGAAAGAATAATAGCAACTGGGAAGGTGAACCTCAACGTGGAAGAGGAGGGCACACGCGCGGTAGTCGAAAAGCCATTTGTATATATTTCAAAAGAAAAGGTTCATGTCGTCACGGTGATAATTGTTCCTTTTTACACATTGGTGCAAATAATCCATACTGAATATTGGAATAGAACGTAAGTTACGTATTGCGTAAACAAATATTAGTGCAAATAGGTAATGTGCTTGTATATTATGTATGTAAAGTATCTTGAATCAATTCTCACACTTGAGAACCAATGAAATCCAAATAAGTGCGCAGTGCGAAAATAATGAACTGAATTTGTATAGTGTACTTTGCGCTACTTTTGTTTTTCGCGCTGGTCGCAAATCCATGTTGAATTAAATTTTTCAGTTGTTAACGATGTATAGTATTTTAATTAGTTTAGCTATAGTTAAGACTCGAAAAGACTGAATGTAAATAAATCTAATAATACTTCTTAAACTGTACATATTGTAAAAGTTTTACTGTTTATATGAAAATTAAAAAAACTGAGTTGTTTATGAGCCTTTTGTTTTTTATTTGTAACTGCAGATCAAGTATAGGTATCTAAGTGATAACAGAATGCAAAGGATGAGACTTAAAAGCTCTTTATGTCAATCATACTAGCGCATTTAAGAATCTATAACTAATTTTAGTAAAATCGACTTCCGTGGTCGAGTGGTTTGTACGCCGGGTTTCATGGTGTAGCCGACTCGAGAGGTCCCGGGTTCGAATCCCTAAGGGGCAGATGTTTGTGAGATGAATACCAGCATTTGTACTCCAGTCATGGATGTTTAATATGTATTTCTATATAAATATACTTATATATGTACAGTATATGTATTCTATCCGTTACCCTAGCATCCCATAACACAAGCCTTACAGTGCTTACTTTGGGGCTAGGCTAATTGGTGTTTAAAAAAAAAATCTCTCGGCAACGTAATCACAGAACGTTGGTAATGCATATTATATTCCTTCCGAGTTGATTAACTGCGCGCATTCGCGCTTCTTTTTATCCGACTGCGCAATGCAAATACGCGCAGACAGGGTTATAGTATTTAACAGATATATATGTATGTATGTTCCTTTGTGACACACGAGAGACCAAACGCCTGCACCGATTTTGATGATTCATACGCCAATCGATTCGTCTTAATCATGGGAGTGCTATTAAAGATATGATAGTAATCGAAATTCAATAAAAGGACAATTAGGCGCTATATTGTGAAAAAGAAAAAGCAATGACGAAATATGTGGAGTGGGGTATCATTGTCTAGATAATCGAAAATCATCTTTAAGTTTATTACACCATTTTTCATTTTACATATATGACTGTTTAGGATCTACAACTATTTATAGTTTTATATTAACCACTTGCGCTTTTATTTTCAATCTTACGTTTGTATGGATCTTTGTTACTCTTTCACTCAAAAAATACTGAATTGATTTTAATGAAACAACAATAATATAGCTCATACATAATAATAACATATAGATAATAATGTATGTAGTTATTGAGTGAATTGGCCAAAATATAACAATAAGTGTCACGAAAGGCGGAAAACATCTCCCATCTGCGAGCCATTCTAGGCTGCACTGCAAAAACAATAAAAGTTACATTAATTTAATAATGTATAGTGGAAATGTATTTCATATATATTTCTACAAAAAAGTTCGTATATCTATTTTTAATGTGTAAGCCATTATCGCTAAAATAGTGAATCATAAATATTTTTTTAATTAATATCCTTTTTCAAAATTTACGTAATGTTTAACCAAATTATTTTTTATCAAAACAAATTCTTTTATCGCTTTTGTTAGTTCATGACTACAACTACACACTAATAAACTTTGCATCATCATTATTTCGACAAATACTATTTAAAAAGTTACAACGATGACAAAGAAAGTGATAGCGCGGTGTACTATGCAGGGGTACACTGCGGGAATGGTGGGAGGTTTATAAAAGTAGAAAATACTTTATGGTAAATGAATTTTCGAAATCGGTTCAGTAGTTTGAGAGATAATTTATTACCATCATACAACCTTGCCCCTTTATAATATTAGAATATATAGTTAGGATAATACGTGGGTAACACTGAAAATGTTTAGAACTGGCCAGTTATAAACATTATTAATGAAAACTTTTTTTTTTATTTAAGAACTCTTTGGTAACTTATTGTAGTATATTGCATTCATTTGTCATTTGTTTTTGTGAATTGGCGGCAAATCTCGTGCCACTATGTACAATTGGTTTAACGAGTTTAGGCGTGGACGTAGCAATCTCAATGATGATCCGCGTGAGGGACGTCCTTTACCAGCGACTACTGAAGATAACATCAGTGCTGTGCGACGCATGATAGACGAAGATAAGAGAGTGACCTATCAGCAGATACGGGCAAGCCTAGGCATTGGTATGAGTCAAGTTCAAAAAATATTACACGAACATTTAGGCGTGAGGAAGCTTTGTACCAGATGGATTCCCCATACTTTAACCGACGACCAGAAACACCTTCGCAAGGACTGGTGTCGCCAAATTTTAGATAAGTTCAACAGCGGTGACTCAAATGCTGTTTTGACATCGTCACAGCTAGGGTTGCCACCCGTACTTTATTATAAAGTATTGTACGTTATTTCGGGTAATTGTACTCTATACTTTATGCCAACAATAAAGTACGTGAAATACTTTATTTGATGTGATTTGATTACTTTGGGATAAATTTTTCATAAATTTACAAATAGAGGTTGATAGAAAGAATTTTTGCGTAAAACGGAACAACAGTATGTATAATATGTCGCCCTTAGCTCATTCCTGCACCATTGTCGCGGCTGTATGGCTTTGAACAATGTTCTTTCCCATTGCGGATAAGAACTACAGATTTTTAGAAGTCCCAAATTATTTATTAAAAGTTGCTAGAAGCAACGCAAAATATACTTTTAATCTTTCTAATAAAGTTGAATAAAAAGTACTTTATTTTGAACACAATGTACTTTTTTTCTACCTTTCATATCCAAATGTACTTTATTTGGACATAAAAAAGGTGGCAACCCTAGTCACAGCCGTCACAGGTGATGAAAGCTGGATATATTGCTACGAACCTGAAACCAAAAGACAATCAACTCAGTGAGTGGTTCCGTTCGAGAATCGGCCAACTAAGGTAAAGAAAGGAAGAAGTCAAGAAAAAAAGATGAATGCCTCATTATTTGGTAGGAAAGGTCATTTCGCGACCGTTGTGCTAGAAGATGGAAGGACAGTAACTGCAGACTGGTATGTGAATCAGCAGCAGACAGCAGCGCCTTCGAAGCAGGATACTTCTTCACCACGACAATGCTTCAGCGCACTCCGCAAAACGGACTGTCAAATATTTGACTATGGCAGGTGTCGAGATAATGAGGTGAGAGTAGAGAAAGATAAAATTCGAGGTATTCGCTTTACGAGCCCTGAAGATGCGGTGAAAGCGTACGAAAATGCTATAGAAGAGACCCCTAAGGAAGAATGGGCCCACTGCTTTTCTCAGTGGTTCTATCGAATGTGACGATGTATATAGAGGAACGAAGATTACTTCGAAAAACAGTAAAAATATTGGCAACTTTCTTTTTTCATTTTCTAAACATTTTCATTGTTACCTAGGTAATATTTAATCTTAGAGCATATACCACGCGTGTACGAGCATATACGTGGTATATGCTTTAAGTATTTAAATGATGAAAAAGAAAGTTACTAAACATTTTTGGTAAACAGTGATTCGTTATTCGATAATTTACATACATACATATTCTTATTTTGTTAATAGGTAGAAATAAATACTTGGAAAAATAATTGCTATGATTGAACCATTTGCAATAACTACTAGGCTGGTAGCAGCCTAATTTATATGTGGAAGTACTCTTATGAGAGCTTTACACTGCCAATAAATAAACCAGAAGGCCTGCGACCTACATGCATTTGATTCAAAGGTAACGACTTGATTTTACTTCACACGTTTTGAGCTTGACCCTGGTAGTAAGGTCTCTATATGTCTTAATAAATCAATGATTTTAGACCACCGCAAGGTACTTAATAATCCCCGCGATATTTATTCCTTTGCTGAAGTGAGAAGACTGCAGTATGTACCGTCTTAAAATCCTAACTAAAAAAGAGTGAAATAAAAAATGCAATTTTAAAATATCAAAAAACTCGATTGCTTAAATATTACTTAAAATAAAAACTGAAAAGAAAAAAGCCCCGGTCAAGTGCGAGTCGGACTTGCGCACCGAGGGTTCCGTACAAACCCGTAGGTATATAAGAAAAAGTTCACTGTATTTGATATGAATTTCAATTTAATACCTCTACGCATACATGAGAAAAGAGGTAGTAACTTTAAAATTTACAAAAAATATTTTTATTATTTGATGTAACTAAAATTTACTGTATTCGCATTTTTTCCTTTATCTGTACTATAAGACGTTACTTTGTACCAAAGGACATTGTTCAGCGTCCATACATAGTTAGCCTAAGAACCAACCAATCATTCATGAAAAATTATTTTCTAGGTTCAAAATCGTAAGTAAATGACTGTAAAAACAAAGATTATTAAGACACTTCTGAGAACTTAAATTATTAGGAAAACTAAAATTATTTTGAGGTTATGTTTAATATTCAATGAAACATAGGTCCACCCAAAGAGTAGTATTTATATTATGGGTCCACCTATGAATTTAGTATAAACTGAGTATGAAGTGAATTAATATTACAACTAATTCATGTTATTCGGTGTGAATTTAAAGAATAACTATTAGGAAAAACTTGGTTAGGTAGGAATCATGAATAAAATAAAAACTGTAGTTTTGCTTCTTATTTATTGACTATTTTTTTCATCCCACCACCTCGGAAAGTGTAATTTTGCGCTTCGAAATCTGGCTGGAAAATTCTATTTTATTCGCTTGAGCGGCAAAGTAGATTTGAATTTAGAACATCACATATAATGAGTACTCAATATAATTGTAAATTCAAAACGTCATTAAACCTATTTAATGTAACCTCTATGGTGCCAAATTTATGATTAGAACTTTTTAAATTGTGAAAAAATTTAAATTTGGAACCTTCTTGGTTTCTTTGTTTTATTTGCGTGCTTCGCGCCATTCTAGTTTTTCACGTTTTATTGCTTAATATAATTAACATAACCTAAAAACTGTACAAAAAAATCAACTAAAATGAGTGACATTAGCGACGATGAAGTTTATCTAACGCCAACTGAGTTAACTGAAACAGTTAATAATGCGCAAATGAGCCTTCTCCCTCAGCAATCACGAGAGAAGTATTTGAAACAGTACGATATATTTAACATGTGGCGACTAGCTAAAGGAGCAAAAACTTTCTCCGAAAACGTTTTGCTGGCATATTTTATAGAATTATCTGAGACCAAGAAAGCAAGCACGCTATGGAGTACGTAT